TCACAACATTGCAAACGGTAGCGAAGGGAGCACATGAACATCATGAATGACAGTGAGTTGAACAGAGCGCCTGGTGAAAGTCAACATTTTCATCTTACAAAGGTATAAGAATGATGAGGGCCTAGCTAGTAAGACTGAATGTGAACATGAACAAGGAGTGGGAGTTGTGAGTTGGGAAAGTGGACATGAAGGGAAGGGGGTTATTTTTAGTACAAGAACAAAGAGATTTTATGAGTATGTGCAATCCATATAAAACACCAGATTATGCTTGTGTAAATACGTGTTTTTTATTTATTAATTTAGTGAGCGAAACTTTGATCAAACGTTATAATATAATATATGTATATTTTTAAAAAAATTAAAATAACAATTGGCAACGCTTATTTAAATAAGCGCTTTCTATACATATTATTATTATAGTGCTAATCTAACTAAATGTTCTCTTATTGTTTCGGGTCTTTACACATAGCGCTTTTGAATTAAAGGTTTTCTAAAAGGTGTTGTCTATATCTACTTCTAGTGTAATTAAAGCTAAAGTGTTGAATATTTTTTGAAGGAAAACCTGTAATAAAATGCTTGTAAATCCATTGTTTGTGGAACGTGAATATGTCATGGACTATGATGAATTTGTGAGCAATTGAATAGTTATGGAGATGAACAATTGCCAAATGTGTTATGCATAATATTAATTTACTAAATTGTCCAATAGTGTAACACCTAGAAATAAGAAGAATAATATTATTTGGTGAGTGACAACCAAATTGACAAATAGTTTGTCTTCTTTCTATAAAAAAAAGTGATTTCATGGGAGTTAATAAAATATAGTGGTAATGGTTTCATGGAAATTAGTAAAATTTTGTGGCAGTTACACGGTAACAATAATAAAGTTATTATTTTGACCTTTAATATTTTAAAAAAAATAATGTGCTCTTCCTTTGATAAATGAAGGGGGAAAAGGGTTAATCAAATATGGACATCTAAACCTAGTATCAACTTTATATATTGTTATATATTTTGTAAAAGTAAAAATATTTTAAAAATTATAAGTATGAAAAATTATATGATGTAAATTCAATGCTCATACATACAAGACACAATTTATTATCTTATAAAAGATTGTTAAACAATTTCATTTAATTGAATTATAATATTTTGAGTTGGGTAGGATTACTATGGCACCCTCTACCCCGCATATATAACACACAATATAATATAAAAATTGAATAATCTCGATGTAATAAATAAACTCAAAGTCATACATGTAGAGAGAATCACATTTTAATATAAATTGGACTTAGTGGAAATAACAAATTATAAGGGAAATAAAACCAATTACTCAATTTAAATAAGATTAAACCAAATCCTAATTAGTCATAATCTAAGTCTCGATGTCACATGTCCTATCAGAATAGTCCCAAAATAAGGATTATGTCTCGTCACCAGCATCATCAATATCCTTATAAGCATTTCCTACAACAACATACATATAGGCAAGACATGAAAATAGAGGGGAGTGAGAAAACTTCTCATTGTAGCTCATGGCATGTAATAAAAAATAGATAGCCAAACACACTTCATACATTACTTATTCAATAACATAATAATAACAAATAACTATCACAATCATTCAATTATCACTACCAACACAATCATTTGTTAACAACACATCAATCATAAGTAATTTAGTCACATGCGAATATGGGATGTAATGGACACAAACTCTCAATTTGCATGCATGTGGTACCAATATCAAGATATGTGCAGTACATATTAAATGATTTATCGATTTGCCAATTTGCGTGCATATAATGCATGTCACACAAACTCTTTCACATCATGAAATAACTATATATACACATATTCAACGATTTGTCACTCAAACAAATTTTCCACACATCCAATTTGTCATGCTCTCAATTTTTATTTATCAAACATACATTTACCATATACACGGTTTGCCATATAAGAGTCAAGTATCTCATTCAAGTGGTTTATCAAACATACATGTTTAATTCACACTCATTAACATTCATTTTACTCAAAAAAAGCCTCTTCATCTCTAGTAAAGGAACCATTTTCATACATAGGTAGTGCTCAACAAAAGTCTATCCATGCTCATCACAGCTCGTCCAGAGAGCACTCACAACTCTTAAGATGACTCATGCCCTATGTGACCCATGTCATTCTCGACAAGATAGCAGTAGGAACTCCCTTGGAGCCCCCACGTCGATGAGACTCAACCCCACGCTCAACGTGAGTAACAGAGATCTGCTACCTCGATAACACTTGATGAGGTGCCAATGCAGACAGAATGGGGAGTGAACTGAGTTCTCAGGCACCACAATGCCTGGTGAGACACAAATGGCACTCAACGCCATATCAGAAACACAAAACCTACTAAATCATGATTTGTGAATAGGGAATCCAAAACATGCATTCATCATTTCAATTGGTAAAAACAATATAAATTACTCATACAATGTATCTATAAGACATAAATTTCATACCATTACACGTTCCCATCAATTACTCACACAATAACCATTCTCATGCATACTCTTAAGGTTCCCATAGGAACCCAAGTACAACTCAATACATTCCAAAAAAGGCAATCATATATAATCGTAATATAGGACCCAAAAATCGAGAATAGAAAACAAAAGGACAGTCATATATAATCATAATTTATAACAATTTAGGGGTAATAAAATCACATGAAAGACAATAAACGAGAACATAAAATAATTGGGATTTTCCACTTCATACAACACATAGAGGTTGGGGGCTAACCTCACTACCCATTAATTACCCCATGCCGTGGAGCAAAAATATTCATTCCTTTCTTACCTCTATCAAAAAATACTGAAGAACATGAGTTTCCAAGATGATCTACTCCTATCTCCTCTTCTTATGGTTCTTTAGAGCGTAAAAGAAAGGTGAGAGTATGAGCAAAAAACTGATGTGTGCTTCTTTTTAATATCAAACCTAACTTAACCCCCCTTCTAATCCATTCATGGTTACTCAACCTTAATTCTAGTTACAATCACTTTCCTTCACTTAATAATAATAATAAAATAATAATAAACATCATCTTAAAATATAATCCTCATATAATTTAAATCTAAACAAATATATAAAATATAATTTCAACCTTAAAATACTCTCTAATATCAACCTTTTAAATTTTATAATAAAATATATATTATTTATCTAATTGCAAAAATGTAGGGTATTATAATTACTATGTTTATGGGTTACAAAATTTTTTCTTTAGATATTTGACACATCAAAATATTTAGGACTCAAACATGAGGCCATTGTTTAAACTAGATGTCCTATTGGTCCGAGTGAATTAGACTTGATCCTCTTAAACAAAGTTTTAATTAAGAAGAGTATATTGGATTGAGATTTTGAAAGATAATTTTAGAATGAAAAAGTCTTGTGGATTTTAGTAGATTTTAAAAGACTTTATAAGAATGTTTATAAAAAAGTTAAACCAACATATTTTTTTTTTTACAAATAATTGTCTCTATCTTTGGATAAATAATTATCGTTATCTTTTGACAAATAATTGATTTTGATGTTCTCCTAACTAACATGTTTTAACATATCTAAATTTATACTAGTCCTTCATGCATTAATATATATATTTTCTTTCATGCATTTGATATTGAATAATATGTTCAAAATTATGGTCTTCATTAATTGGTAGCATTTAAAATCCATTACTTCAATTGAAAAGACATTCTTTGCAAAAAAAAAAGAAGTTATTTAGTGCTATATACTAATAAAAGTTTAGTTATAGAGGCCTTGACTTAAAAATTGTGAAGCATAATTTAAAAATATTAAATATCTTTTCAATCACATTTATTAAGGATGTATGACATAAATTGAAAATTTCAATTTCATTTTGAGGGTCATTATCATGACCTACAAAGTCTTTTAAATATATGTTTCAAAATTTTATATTTCAATATTAAATTTTATTAAAAATACATAGTTAAATTTTAATAATCTAAAAAATTATCAATAGATAATATTTAATAATACAAAAAATATTTTAAATATTTAATAATTAAAAAAACAAATATTGATAAATTACACATCAATTGATAGATAAAAAAGAATAAGAGATAAATGAGAGAGATAAATAAAAAAAAATAAAATACATAGAGAAGAAAAAAAGAAGCAATATTGACAAGAGACAGAGAGAGAAAAAGAGAAGCAATAATGACGAGAGAGAGAGAGAGAAAAAGAGAGAAGCAATAATGGCGAGAGAGAAAAAGATATAAGCAAGAAAGGTAAGAGAAAAACATTAAGAGAGAGAAAAAGGACAGAAAGAATAAAAATAGAAAGGGAAAAAGTCATATGAAATTTTAAAAGTTTTGGTGAAATTATTTGATAAGTGAATTACATGTAAATTATACTAAAAAAGTCTCATAAAATTCATTATTCACAATAATCCATTGAAATTTCTATATTTTTCAACAAAAAATTCCTGATTGTCTTAGTTAAATATCACTAAATATTGACAAACTCTTAAAAAAGTCTTGATTAAATACTACATAACTTTTTTATATTAAAAAAATCCTTATTAAATATCACAAGAATTTTTTATAATAAAAAAGTTTTTAAAATCCCTTAAAATCTTAATCTAACACACCTTCTTAGTTATTACACAAGCCAAATATTTATTATATATATTTCAATATATAAATCATATTTTATATTTATAAAAATGTTTATATTATGACATAATTATTTTAATTATTGATAATTTATTTTAAAATTAATAAATTTAACTTAAAAATATATAAGATAAACACAAAATAAAATTGATAAAAAGTTAAAATAATCTAAACTTTCAGTTTTTTTAAAAAAAAGAGAAAAATAAATCCAATTATTTACACATACACACATTGATATTTGAAATATTTTGGTGATATCCCCCTTAAACCAAAGAATGGAAGAGTGTGATTAGGAAGTGTCCACGACGTGAAGGGGCAAGAAACGAACATTTACGATGGAAGGCAGGCAGCATTTGGAAAATTGTGATAAATAAAATCCACATCACAGTTCACAGTTCACAGTTCACAGACACACAAAATTTCCCAAGCCGGCGCCAATTTGAATGAATCCCCGGATAAGGTTTTACTTTTCCTTCCTTCTTCCCCAAATCCTCCTCTCCCAACAAACTCTGAAATAAAACCCTAATAATGGCCACACTCCAAGCTTCCCTCCTCTCCAAACCTTCCCTCCCATTCCCATTCCCATTCCTCTCTCCCAACCACTCTCCATTCTCCCTCGCCTTCCCCCCCACGCGCCGCGTCCCCTCCACGCTCCTCTGCTGCACCTTTCGCCCCGACAGCGTCGCCTCCGAACCCAATCACAACCCCTCCGAGCCCGAGCCTGAGCCCGAACCAAGTACCGAACCGGACCCCAGCGCGGGTGTAAATTCGACGGAAGAAGGTGCAGTCGCGGTTTTGGATTCTCCGAGCGAGGCGAGTTTGGAAAGGGTGGAGACTGCGCTGCGGAGTGAAGCGGATTTGGAGAGCGAAGGGAAGATTGCGAGTGGAAGGTTTTCGTTAGTGGTGTTCTTTGTGGGACTGTGGGTGAAGGCTAGGGAGCGTGTGAAGAAGGCTTTCGCGGAGTTTCTTGATTGGTGGCCGTTTTGGCGTCAGGAGAAGCGCCTTGAGCGGTTGATCGTCGACGCCGACGCGAATCCGCAAGATGCTGCCAAACAGAGTGCTCTGTTTGTTGAGCTCAATAAGCACAGGTCTGCTTTCGGAATTGGAAATGTTGTTGTTTGATTAATTCTTGATAATAGAAGCTGACTGAAACTGAGTTGGTTCCTGAGCAATTCTTGCTTGAGAGCGGTGTTTATGAGGCTGTTTGGATTCAGTTTTAAAAGTGCTTTTGAGAGCTTCTTTACTGGAAATGAGTTTTATTTTCAGTTGAGAAGCTCGCAAAAGTGGTTTTGATTTTGTATCCAAAAAGACTCTTGAAGTAAGACTATAATTGATTGAATTCAAGATGCATTATTTAAAATAATGTTATTCTGAGCTTTGATTGGTCGTGCATGTGCTCGTGCCAGCATTGTTCTTGGTTCGTTGGTTTTAAGATTATGCACTCTGTGATTTTCGTTTTTCTTGGATGCTCTTGGATGATAAATGATGATGTGGGGTAGATGAAAAATTGCGTGTTGTATTTAGATGTATGGGTTTGAGTGTTACTGGAGAATGTAGCTCATGCAATACTTTACAGAAAAAGAAAAAAAAAAAAGTGTGGCGGTAGGGGAAATTTGGCTAGGTATCAATGACACTACGTAGTTTTCTTACCTGGAAGTTTTTGTGATGGAGTTTGTTAGCATATATTGTTTTATTTGATTATATGTATTTTTTCTAGTCCTGAATCTGTCATCAAGCGGTTTGAACAAAGGGATCGAGCTGTGGACAGTAAAGGCGTTGCTGAATATCTTCGAGCTCTTGTGGTCACTAATGCTATTAGTGAATATCTTCCAGATGAGGAGTCTGGAAAAGCTTCCAGCCTTCCTACCCTGGTAATCACTTTGAATCATTCATGTTCTTGTCTTCTTGGTATTCTGCCTTTCAATTTTTAGTCTGTGTAACCAAAAATTTAATACTGCATTTTCATTAGTAGAGGTAGAGGGGTGCCGTGTGCATCTTGTTTGGCATTTATTTGTTCATATTAGTTTGTCCAAAAATTTATTCTGTTTTATTTCAACAAGCATAATCTAAGACATTTGGATTTGTTTTGCAATAGGTAATAGGTAATTCAGTCTGTTTATTGTCCTGGTGAACTATGTTATTATTATTTTATTTTTCGAAAGGCTGTCTTTTCATAATAAAGTTGCAAGTTTCATGCAGCACTATCTAATTTTTGACATTTGAATCAATTCCTGTGTTAGAAAATTAATTTTATTGCTGATCACTGTTGTATTTTCCTGATTTATTGACTATTATGATTCTAGTTATTTTTTTAATTCTTTTTTAAACTTCAGTTTTTGATGTGCCACTGAGCATATCCCGTAGGTAGTGCTGCTGCATGCTTTTGGAGAATGATGTATTCCTACTGGGTGAGTCATTGAAGGAGAGGGGGGGGGGGGGGG